CGGATGGTTCTTGCTGCTGTGTCAGACAGGGCGTCTCAGACAGACAGACATCTAGATGAATGCATTGGAAAAACAGGAGCTGTGTTCTAATTGGACCTCGGAGACCGTTCGAACCAACTGCAGCTGGAGCAAGGACACGGATGGTTCTTGCTGCTGTGTCAGACAGGGCGTCTCAGACAGACATCTAGATGAATGCATTGGAAAAACAGGAGCTGTGTTCTAATTGGACCTCGGAGACCGTTCGAACCAACTGTGTGGTTTTATAGACAAGGTGGTGGGGCCCTAAAGGATGCGAGGCCGTGTGAGGTGCCTGGTCACCTGGGGGCAGCACGGAAGCCCATCTCCCTGAGATGGGACTCTCAACACCATGGAAACCAGGAGCGCTGCTAGTGGCTCAGAGGCGAGTGTAGAAAGCCATCAGGGGTTCCCCATATAAAGCCTCCTAAGATGTCCCTGCTGCAGACCCGCCAGTCCCTGTTCCCCATGCAGTGTCAGGACCAGCTGTAGGTCATGCCTGACTGCCACATGGTACCCTGTGTTATTTCCTACGAATTTCACATGCTTGGCCCCGGGCTGATCATGCCAGTTTAGGTTTGCACAGTCTATTGGGAGTGCTCTGGCTGTGGAAGTGTGTTTACCATAAAGCAATTTCTTGTCTCTCCCAAAATACAGGAAAATCTCTAGGAAATATTAAATTGCTCTTACGTGTGACCCTTATGTAACACTGATTGGGGGGGAAACTATGTGAAAAGCTGATTGGCAACATTTCACTCATTGTGGAAGCTGGTTGATGGGACCTGGGAATTCATTTACTGTCCTCTCTACTTTGGTGTATGTTTGAAAAGTTTCAGAAGAAGTTTAAACACACACACACACACACGCATGCATGCACGCGCACACACACACATACACACTTTTTTTAAAAGGAGAGAGGGATGACCTCCATTCTTTTAACTCCTGTACTCCTCAGGCTCCTACAGCCGGGGCCCCAACTCCCTTCTCCAGGGAAAGGGCCCGCCTCCCCCAGCCCGCAGCCTCTTCAGCCTCCTTCCTGAGCCGCCCTCTCTCTGACATCTTTGGAACCAGCCTCTCCTGGGCTTTCCCTCCCCCTTCTCAGCACTCTCCACCTTCCCACTGGTCCTTCTGCCTCAGCCAGGCCTTTAGTGTCGGCCTCCCTCAGGTGCCCGCCTAGGTCTGCCTTTTCTCACTGCACGCTCTCATCTCCTGCTTCAGCTGCCTCCCAGAGCCCTGCCTCCCGCCCAGACCTCTCGCCCACCCAAGTGCAGAGGCCAGGCGTCCACCTGCCCAGTGGGTTCACCACCTGTGCCCCTTAAGCGTCTCACACTTCATTGTCTGCCTTGGAGCTCATCAGCTTCCTTCCCCAAACCTGCTGTCTCTCCCCTCTCCCTGCCCCAGCAATGAGGGCACCTAGTCGTCCCAGCAGGGACCTCAGAGTTATTCTGGATCCTCCCCCTCATCTACATGCCTGTCAGTCCTGCCAGCCGTCCTGCCAGCACTTCTGTTCCATCTGTCCCTTCTCCCCTATGCTCGCAGATGCTAACAGCCTGCACCTTGCTCCCTCACCTGGATCCCAGCAGTAGTCCCCAGCGGTCTCCTTCCCTTGGCCCACTTGTTCCACCAGAAGGAACTTTCTATAACACATGTCAGATGGGATCACATGTAATATCACAAAGCTCAGATGGCTCTGAGTAAGGGCCAGAGTCCTGGCAGGACATGAGGTGCTGTGCAAAGTGATTCTGGGCTCCTGCACAGCATCCCTGGTCATGGACTGCCAGATTTCTGCCTCCCTAATCTGTTAGCCTGGTCCCTGGGAGGAAACAGGAAAAGAAAAAGCTATAAAAATAATAATAATAAATTGTGAGACTCCTCCGCCCCCCTAAAAAAATGTCTGTTGCTGCTGAGTTACTGTTTTGGGAAGATGTGGATTCCACATAGCCAGGGGAAAGGCATTACTCACCTTCCCCTGAGCCAGAAGAAAGTGAAGATTAAAAATAATAATTGTTGAAGGCTGGCTGGTTAGCTTAGTTGGTTAGAGCATGGTGCTGATAACGTCAAGGTTCAGGGCCTGATCCCTGTGCCAGCTAGCCGACTCCCCCCCAAAAAATCAAAAATAATAATTGTTTTTAATTACACCTAAATTGCATGTGAAAGAACAGAGGGCACAAAGCTGACATTTGATAGGAATGATCCATTGCTTATTGACCAGCACCTGTTCCATCCACCCTGGTGGTAACCTTGGTATTGTTGGTTACACTTGTGGGCCAGCCGGCAGTCACGGAGAGGATGATGGATCATGGAAGCCTACATCAGAGACAGAAAGGGACCTGGGACATCATGGTTTTCAACCCCCTCATGTAAAGATGTGGTTCAGTTCCATGCCCAAGGTAGCGTAGTTAAGTGGAACCAGGAATGAGACTCGAATCCAGGTTGCCTGAATCCCGACTCCTTGCCCTTCTGGCTGCCCCTTACTGTCTCCTAGAGAGGACAGACACAGTTGGGGCCTGCACAGTAACTACAAAAGAGAGGGTATAGCAAGCTCTTGTCCTTTGTGGTGCAGAATTTAAATACTGTAAGCATTTAGACACAAGCAAGGTCCTGGGCCTTTCAGCCTCTAAGGAGCTGGGCCACACGGAGTAGATGGGTGTGCTCTGCACAGTGCGGGGTGAGCAGTGGTCACCAACAAGGGAAGACACCACCACGAGCAGACATGGAGACCACCTTTTTTGGAGCTCTAAAATCCAAAGTTTTTTTGAACTTTCCACAGTGACATTAGGGAACTTCAGAGAGCTCTTGGTGTACATGGGGACCGGGTATGGGGGTGGGGGTGGGTCTGTTTCTAGCATGGAGGACAATAGCTGAGGTGCGACATGAGGAAGCAGGGGCAGGCTGGGGAGGGCAGATGTCAGGGTCAGATGTGGACATGCTGAGATTCCCATGCCTATGGGGCAGCCAGGTAAAGATGGCCCTGCCCCAGAGCCCCGGAAGTAAAGAACCGTCTGGGGTGTCTGCAAGTGCAGGGCGCTGGGGATGGCCGTGAACACACTGACTTCATGATGACACACCACGGCTCGTGGAAGTGTGGCATTTAGACACAAGCAAGGTCCTGGGCCTTTCAGCCTCTAAGGAGCTGGGCCACACGGAGTAGATGGGTGTGCTCTGCACAGTGCGGGGTGAGCAGTGGTCACCAACAAGGGAAGACACCACCACGAGCAGACATGGAGACCACCTTTTTTGGAGCTCTAAAATCCAAAGTTTTTTTGAACTTTCCACAGTGACATTAGGGAACTTCAGAGAGCTCTTGGTGTACATGGGGACCGGGTATGGGGGTGGGGGTGGGTCTGTTTCTAGCATGGAGGACAATAGCTGAGGTGCGACATGAGGAAGCAGGGGCAGGCTGGGGAGGGCAGATGTCAGGGTCAGATGTGGACATGCTGAGATTCCCATGCCTATGGGGCAGCCAGGTAAAGATGGCCCTGCCCCAGAGCCCCCGCTGAGGGAGCCCCACTGCAGGGCTGCCTGGCGCGGCCAGGCGAGGGGTGGGGCCGACTTTCTGACCAGCCCATCTGTCTCACCAAGTCTTCCTCCCCTGAGCCCCACATTTTTTTCCGGCCAGACCTTCACGGTGGCCAGTGGCCCGCAGTGGTAGATCCCTGTGCCTTCCCAAGGAAGCCAAGCTGTCTTGGGGAAAGATCTGTCATTCTAAGAAAAGACTGCCAATTCTTACATTTAGAGAAATAAATTTAAAAATAAATCGGGTGGGGCCGACTTTCTGACCAGCCCATCTGTCTCACCAAGTCTTCCTCCCCTGAGCCCCACATTTTTTTCCGGCCAGACCTTCACGGTGGCCAGTGGCCCGCAGTGGTAGATCCCTGTGCCTTCCCAAGGAAGCCAAGCTGTCTTGGGGAAAGATCTGTCATTCTATGAAAAGACTGCCAATTCTTACATTTAGAGAAATAAATTTAAGCGATCCCGTTGCCGGTCCTGGTCCGGTACGGAGGCGACACTGAGGGTTGCGATCCGTTGCCAGACACGGATAAAGACAAAAATAAATAAATAAATAAATAAATCCTTCTGTAGTTATATCTATAGCAGTATTCTGGCTTAGCAGTGTATAGATATACTGCTATATAGATATAACAGTAGTTATATCTATGACGGTATCCTGGCTTAGCATCGTACACAAATAAATCATTGTGATCCATTACCAGATGGGAAAAGCTGAGCATTTATTTTTCATAAACACTTCCATCTTTGAGCCACTGGCCTCCAATAATAACAGTGAGAAATGTAGTGTCGCATGGTTCTTTCTTGAAGCCAAGTAATGTTACAGCTGATATCCTTTTTATCAGTAAAACAAATGCTAAAACCCAGCATCAGCTGCATGCACCCCTCAGTGTCTGTGCTAACAATATGTCATGTGATACTGCCGTGTCACCCTGAGGTCTGGAGTGTGTGGAGTGTTGAACAGAAACAAACGCCCCTGATCGGAGTCCAGGCCACGGGGTCTCTGTGTTGCAGCGTCCCCTGCGATTGACCATCAGCTTCCTCAGGCAGCTGCGGGGCTGGCCCATTGTGTGTACTTGTGTTGACACATAAGAGCCTGTTGTTCCACTTCTGCTACGCCACTGCGTTTGTCTCGTGTCACTCATGCAATTCATGCTCTTCTCAAGCCTGTTCTCTGTTTCAAAACAGTATTATTTATTATACTAGATAGAAGGGTCCTTTAAAATTCAGTTTTCATTAAGAGTTGTTAGCGATTCCAAGAGTTGAACAGACCAGATTTGGAGAACATTGTAGTTATTTTTTATAATATGCATAAAATGCTCTATTTTAGGTAGCTGTTGAAATTTAATTTTTTTTCGATTATTGCATACACTGTTCACTGACACACTGCACTAGCTCAGTTAACATTCATAACTAGAGTGCGTGTTGGTAAAAGATTCCTTTTTCTAATGTCCTGGTAAATTTTGTTTGCACAGGGATTTTGCTTATGTAGCAAGAGACAAAGATACAAGAATTTTGAAATGTCATGTATTTCGATGTGACACGCCAGCAAAAGCCATTGCCACAAGTCTCCACGAAATCTGTTCCAAGGTAAGGTGGGTCAGGCACAGTGGTGTACCTCCCTTTTCTCACTGCTTGAGCAGATAAAAGGATGTGGAGGGGCAGGAGAGGGGACTCACTGACCTGCTCGTCCAGCTCAGGGAGAAGCAGGCAGATCGGTTGTTCCGCCAGCGTCATTAAAGTGCTCTTGCTGCAGAGCGGCGGGGCTCTGAGTGGCGTGCAGTCTACAAAGTGAGGAGAGCTTTAGTCTGTCCCAGTCTGAGAATGTGTATGTGTATTTACGAGGGTACTTCAAAAAGTTCAGGGGAAGATGTATATTGTCTTTTAATTCTCTTTTTCCATGAACTTTTTGAAGTACCCTCGTGCGTGTGCATGTGCGCACATGCATGTATAACTAGGTGAGCAAAACAATGGCAGGTGCAGCGATGGAAATGTGTACACCCCTGCGAAAGGGAAAGGGGGTCAGGACAGATGTCCCAGCGCAGGGCCACCTGATCTGAGAGTAAATGCCTGTGGAAAAGAGGACTGGAGGCAAGGAAGGGAAGTAAGGAACCGTCTGGGGTGTCTGCAAGTGCAGGGAGCTGGGGATGGCCGTGAACACACTGACTTCATGATGACACACCACGGCTCGTGGAAGTGTGCTGGCCAGCTGGGAGGCAGGGCTGCGGTCACCATCTCATACTGATAAGGGTCCCACTTCCTTAACCAGAGTGACAGAGCCTCAGAACAAGAACGGACAGTCTGGCATCACCAGCCCAGCCTTGCTGCCTCCATCCAGCACAGCATTCTCCATACAGACACCCCTCCCTCTGCCCAGCACTGCCATGGATTTCCATGGATGGGGTCTCTTTCTTTTCAGGAGACTCTTCTATTTTTTGAGCAGCTCTGGCTATAACAGAGTTCTTTCTTATGTTGACCTGAAATCTTGCTCCCTGGAACTTCCATGTACTTGCTTGAGATCTGTAAGCTGCAGCAGCTGAGAGAGGTTCCTGCCGTTGTGTCTTTGCTGGCCAGCCCTTTACACAATTGAAGCCTTGCTGTGTGCCTGGCATGTTTTAGAGGCACTGGATGAGCATCTGTCATTGAGTCTTCTTGTTCCTGACCTCCTTGCTTTCCAAATCCCCCGCCCCCATCTCTGTAGCCACTTTAGGCTCCTAATCGTCCTCTTCTGGGCACACACTGGTTGGTTTCTCCAAGTGAACACAGTATTCCAAAAGTGACCTGGAATAGTGGTTCACCTCCTATCCCCAGAGAAAATGAGCAAAATTCTCAAACAAAATGTGTAGCCCAGAGGTATGGGAGTGGGAAACCAGGCAGTGACTAAAGCTAATTCACCTTGGAAGTGACATCAACTCAGAAACTTTACTGGCTGGAATAGCTGAAGACCTTGGGGCCTATAACCATGAACCAAAGTTGTGTTTGCTCTCTTTAGATTATGGCCGAACGGAAGAATGCCAAAGCTCTGGCCTGTAGTTCCTTACAGGAAAGGACCAACGTGAATCTCGACGTTCCTTTACAAGGTAGATTGGCAGCATCTCCTCTCTTTGTTATGGTGCTATCTGTCCCAATCAAGAAGCGAAGGTCTCAGATGGTTCTCTGGTGTTTCTGGTTTCCTTAGAAAGCATGTTTGACTCAACAAACATGTTGAGCATGCACTGTGGGTCCTACAGTCGCACCGGGTTGATTTTGTGTCAACAGAGATGAGTACAGAGGGCCAGGATGAGTTTTCTTCTTACTAGACAAGGTTAAAGAATATTGTCTTTGGTAGTTTTATAACTCATGTATAGACCAGGGCAAGGACTGGCTGGTTTTAAAATATGTGAATGGTTATTTTAGGGGATTCTCTAGTTATTTTTCCTGTGTCTCTGATCGTGCCCTTTATAATTAAATTTTCTCTGGGCATCAGCCACACCTAACAAATAGGACATCAAAAGCTGTTACTCAGCACACATCAAAGTGACAGTAGCAGCTTTTACACATAGATTCCAGTGCCTGCTTTCAAATGCTTTCCTACCTTGAAATGAAAGTTAAATAGGATTTTGACTGACAGGGCCCCAATATCTGGAGTAAGAAATGCTGTTCTTACACTATAGAACAATAGCTATATTTATGTCCAGAGACATAGGATATTACGACAGGTGGTGTTCTGAGCTTTCCAGATGACACAGAGTGATGGCTGTTTTTTACGTGTATGTTGGAACCACTGAGAAAGATGTGTTGCTGTTGTTTTCTATAGTAGATTTTCCAACACCAAAGACTGAGCTGGTCCAGAAGTTCCATGTGCAGTACTTGGGCATGTTACCTGTAGACAAGCCAGTCGGTATGTAGAACATTTATTGTCTTTCCACTTTGCAAGTGTCTGGGAGCTCATGGGAGGACCCCACCCCCCACCCCGCTACACAAGAGAGTGTGATCTACTGTTTTATTCCCTGCCTTGTCTTGAATCAAACCCTCACACTGTCACTAGCCAGAGCACATATACAGTCCTATTCAAATCAGCAATAAAGGACAGACTAAGCTGCTTTGATAAGTGATCTCCAAAATTCAGGGACTTTGACAAGACAGACGTGTATTTCTCATTTCCCCAAGAGTCCAGAGATGTGCAATCCAGGGCGATGGAAGGGTTCTGCCGTTCTCAGGTGGGGCTTCCATCTCGGGGGCCAGGGCACCTGCTTCAGTTCTTGTCAGCTGGAGGCAGGGAGAAAGGGCCGAGGGAGCCCTCATGCTTTCCCTTTAAGGTATGACCCAGAAGTGGCATACACAGCATTCACGTCACATCCTAGTGTCAGAACTTAGTTGCTTGACCACAGCAAGCTGAAAGGAGGTTGGGAGATGTAGCCTCTACCTGGGCTAGAAAAGGTAGTGGGGAAATCAGAAATTCATGCACTGCTGGGAATTCGAAATGGTGCAGCTGCTTTGGAACACAGGCAGGTCTTTAAAAGGTTAAACTTAGCAACCTTTGACCCAGCAATTCTCCTAGGCATATACCCAAGAGAAATGAAGCATCTGTCTTTACAAACACTTGTACACAGATGTTCACAGCAGCATTATTCATAATAGTCAAAAAGTGGAAGCAACCCAAATGTCCATCAACTGACAAATGGATAAATAAAATGTGATACTTCCATGTAATGGAATTTTATTTGGCAATAAAAAGGAATGAAGTACCGAGATATGCTGCATGGGTGAGCCTTGAAAACATTATGCTAAGTGAAAGAAGTCAGTCTCACAAAAGACTGTGTGATTCCATTTATATGAAATGTTCAAAATAAGCAAACCTGTAGAGAGAGAAAGTAGGTAAGTGGTTGCCTGGGACTAGGGGGATGGAGGATAATGGAGGGTGACTCCTAAAAGGTACAAGGTTTCTTTTGGGGGTGATGAAAATGTTCTAAAATTAATTATAGTGATGGTTTCATTCTGTGAATGTACTAAAACCCACTAAATTATACACTGTAAATAGTGAGTTGTATGTGAATTACATATTAATAAAGTTACACCCACCTCCACCCCCCCAAGAAAAGACTGTGGGGATACCCAGCAATAGGGCCACATTGAATAGCACATCCTTCTCATGCAAAGGTGCCCTCCAAACCTGGCCTACCTAAATACAGAGGAAGATGAAGGAAGAGCAGGGTCTTTTGGTAGATGCTGGCTCCTGTTGGGTCCCCTATCCCAAGGCTCCCTTCTTATAAAAACATAGCATTTCCTTGAATACCATTTGTACCCTTCGGGGCTAGGGAATCTCTGGAGAGAGGGAGAGAGATATCAGAGTGCCATGGTCTGATTAGACAGGACATCCTACACTAGATCTCTGGAGGTTCTCATGACCCTTCTTTCTGTTGGAAAAGCTGGTGTTTCTTTTCTTTTGCTCAAAAATAAGAATGAAGTGTCTTGTCTTCTGCGGCTACAAGAAAAGACCAGTCTGGGTGTAGCTATTACTGTGTGATTTGGGCCCAAAGTTGAGAGTGATAAATAGCTTTAGGACTTTTTCAGTTATCCTTTTCATCCACAGGAATGGACACCCTGAACAGTGCCATAGAAAGTCTTATGACCTCATCCAGCAAGGAGGATTGGCTGTCAGTGAACATGAATGTGGCCGATGCGACTGTGACTGTCATCAGTGAAAAGGTGAGAAGGAATCGTAGCTGACGTTGGCCTATCTAGGTTACAGTTACATTTTGAATACAACAGTCTTCCATGAAACTTAGAAACATACCCAAGGCTTGACCTCTTGGGAGTTGTGCTTACTTGTGATTAAAATGGCACACATTTAAAAAAAGATTTTGCCCTTTGTCTGGGTCTAAATCTGTGCATTCCTCTGATTTTATCTGAACTTAGAAACTTCTACTCTGTTGTCCCTGATTCTGTCTTCCTCATATCCCCAGAGATTGTCATCATTTGCTAGGGGTGATGGTGTGACACTAGCAGTAGCTCACTAATGGGTTTTGGTTTTCTCACCAGTCACACTCAGGGCTCCAGTGTTGACTGGGCTGTGTCGTCTAGTATTAAGGTGCAGAAGATGTTTCTATTAGGGAAGGTCCTGTAGTTTGTTTTGTCAGTAGTAGAAGGGGCCATTGGTCATGTTGAGAGGGGCCAGCATTAGCCTCAAGCCAGATTATCCCAGTTTCGTGGCTGAAGAAACTGAAGCACAGAGAGATTATGTAACTTGCCCAATGTCATATGATTAGAAGTAGCAGGATCAGGATTTGAGTCCAGGCAGTCTGGCTCCAGATTCTTTACCACTTTTCTATTCTGCCTCTGTGAAGCACCTGACATGGAAAGAGCCCGAGTCCTTGGCCTGCTCTTGTTTCTGTCCGCCAGTGGCCACCTTCAAGCCCAGTTCACCTCTAAAGAGGAGCAGGAAGCCCACCTACCTGCCTGGCTCTCCAGCCTGCCGTGCTGGACGTCCTTCAGTTCTTTAAGCATGTCGTACCCTTCCCTGCCTCGGCATCTCTGCAAGTGCTGCTCCTCCCGGGCTCCACCCCTTTGCCTACCCAGCCCTTTCCCAGCTGTCACCCTCAACATCATTTCTCCCAAGAAAACTTCTTGACCTCTCAGACTAGAGTGGTTTGCCTATTAAACAATGCCGTGGTGCCTGAGTGAATATTTAATAAGGTGAGATGTTAATGATCCACAAGTCAGTATTCTGGTTGTGCTTACCAATTCAGAAGTTGCGTATGGCTGTTGCAGGGGATGTGGTGGGTGTTACTAGCCATCGGCATGAATTCCAGACATTTCTTTACACCATCTCATATGGACACTAGTTTGCAAAAAAGATTTGACAACTTTTTGTTGATTTGGCGACTCTGTTTTACATGGTGTTAGATAGAAATGTGATTCGGCGTGCTGTGTAGCTTGAGTAAAAAGAACTGGATGAAAGACACCCTGAATCCTTTTTTCCTGGTGCTCTGGGGGTTCACCATGGCAGATAGGTTTTGAGACACTGGGTGTCCTGTGTTGGGCAAGATGTAAGAGGCATATACGTATGGCATTGTTCCTCCCCATGGTGAATTCACAGACTCATTTTGTAATGGACAGAGAACTGAATGTGCATCACGTACCGTGACAGCGGTGTGGTTCAGAGTAGTGTGAAGTGCCAGAATGACATCCCCACAGCAGTGATGGCCTCTGCAGACATTCAGCCAAGGTTTTGCCTTTCAAGGAAAACACAAGTCCTTCCTGAATTCAGTCTGGCTATATTTTTTTAACACCAGTTTCTAAATACTGTCACTCTAAGCTTGATTCTGTGATTTAAGATCTGAAAATGTTCATAACTATTGCCCAGCTTCACAGGGAGAGCAGGCTGCTGAGCAGTGTCTCTTGCAGGATGAAGAGGAAATCTTAGTGGAGTGTCGTGTGCGATTCCTGTCCTTCATGGGTGTTGGGAAGGATGTCCACACATTTGCCTTCATCATGGACACTGGGAACCAGCACTTTGAGTGCCACGTTTTCTGGTGCGAGCCTAACGCCGGGAACGTGTCCGAGGCAGTGCAGGCCGCCTGCATGGTGAGTAATCCCTTACAGTGTGCTCAACCCTCCCGCCTGTGCTTTTGCATATATGCCACAAACGAGAATTACTCATTGAAAAGAAAAAAAATCCAGTCTCTAAGGTAGTGCTTTGTTGCTTATCACAATCACTTATGATAAGCAGATTGCATCTCAAAAGGCCAGGACTCCTGAAAGAAGCAGGGCCGGATAGAGCCAGATTCTGTAGAGACTCCAGTGACCTTAAAAAGGATGAGCTCCAAAACTGCAGATTTGAGGATTATCAATTCTTGATCCCGAACTAATTTCAGTATGTGATCAGGAAATGTTGGTCGTGCATGAGTTGGTACTATTTGGATTCAGCTCAGTACTTTGAAATAAAAATCATTCAGTACATTTCTTTTCTTTTTTTTTTTTGTCTTTTTCCGTGTCCGGCAACGGATCGCAACCCTCAGTGTCGCCCCCGTACCGGACCGGGACCGGCAACGGGATCGCAGCCCTCGGTGTTGCTCCCGCACCTTGCTCAGCCAGTGAGCGGGAACCGGTCTGTATGTGGGATCCGAACCCTCGGTGGGAGCGCCGCCGCGCTTCCCAAGCGGCGCACTATAGCAGTGCGCCACCGGGCCGGCCCAGTACATTTCTTTTTAAAGAGTTGGTTAAGTGCATTGTTCTTATATATTTTGTTTACTTTATATCTATTAACTCAACCCTTATAACAACTCTGTTAGGTAGTTGTTAGTTCTGTTTTATTTATGAGAAAACAAAGGCTTGGAGAAGTTAAAGAGCAGGCCCAGGACACAGAGTTGGTGAGTGGCAGAGCCTGAGTTCAACCCTAGGTCTGCCAAGCAACAAAGCCAGGGCTCTTTTCACCACATATATGATTCGATACCTTGTCATTCAGTGAGCAGATATCCTTTGAGTATCTGTTATGCTGGGCACTGAAAAGCCTCTAGTGAAAATGATGGAACGGTCTGAATGTAGGCACAAGCCTGAAGTGCATGGTGTATTCTAGCAACAGCTGGTTGGGTTGCTGGAACCCAGTGGAAGGAGGCGATATCCGTATCGTGACGGGCGTATCGGTAATGTCATTGCCAAAGTTGATTCTCTTCAGCAAAGATTGTTAAATGCGAGTGAATTGATCATATTTAGGTTTTCAAAGAGTACTCCTGCAAAAGGAAAAGAAAAGACAACAAAGTGGAGGAGAGATGAGCCGGGAGGCCAGTGAAGCAAGCAGATGAGAGATGAGGAGGGTCTGAACAGGAGAGTGGCCGTGGGCATAAACAGGAACAGAGGAGCAGAGGGTGACATAGAGAACTGCCTGGCTTGGGGATGACAGGTGCTGCGCTGGAAGCCCCTGTGCTTCATTTAATTGAATCCAGCATTTATGGGCTACACTTTGGGCAGTTCGAGCATGACTGAAATATGACCTTGCCTTATGGAGCACAGGTGTAGTGGGGAGACACCAAAATTCTTCTCTGGTAGAAAGTGCTGTAAATAAAAGTTATGAGACTGCACTGAACTGAGAAGTAATAGGGAGGTTATACATGAAGCTGTGGCGAGGTCTTAACAGAAAGTGGAGGTAGATTAAGAGCCTAGGGAAGGGCTTAGCCTCTGCAGTGGTTACTACACCTTTTCATTTGAGACAGGTCAGAAAGTGTTAAGAACCAGGAATAGGTGGGCTCGGGGAAGGAAGCTGAGCAAGTTGTTTCCACGTACAGTGCATTGCTTAGTTAAGAGTGAAGGAGAACGGGCCGGCCCCATGGCACACTGGGGAGAGTGCGGCGCTTGGGTGCGCAGCAGCGCTCCCACCACGGGTTCGGATCCTATATAGAGATGGCCGGTGGGTTGCGATCCCCTTACCAGTCACAAAAAAGACAAAAAAAAAAAGAGAGTGAAGGAGAAGGATGGGGCGGGAGGGCAGGTGGCAAAGGTAACAAACAGGAAAAGAGAGCCAATTGATTTTTCTCCTCAATGACACCTTTGAAATGGAACAGGAAGGAAGGAGAAGGAGGAAAGACCTGGTACTCTCATCACCTGACACAGCCCTTCGTTAGTGGTGTACTTTGCCTCCAGTGCCGTGGAGCCGGGGTTCTAACTCAGACTCGTCAAAAAGTTAAGGAGCAGGCTTGGGGTAGAGGGGACCCCGGGAGAACAGGTGTCCAAGTGAACCTACTGAGCAGGCATAGGGAATTAAGATGGGGTGATGGGGCTTCGTGAAGAAACAGAAAGTGGGAGGTTTCAGTCAAGCAAAACTGGATGATGACTATTTAGCTATTTTATGAAATTGAAATCGATCATAACAGATGGTTTGAGTCATAAAATGAATGGCTGTCAGCCTTAATTATACATTTTAATGCTAATGACAAATAATTAGCTTTAATATTGTGGCTACGGTATTTTTTTTTCTGATTCTCAAACTCATGTTCCCTCTTGGAAACAACTTTTACTCATTTGTTTCCTATTTTAATTGTATTAGTGCAACCACTTGAAGTAACACGGCCGACCCGGTGTGAGGCGTAATGATAAAACCAGAACCTTCAGCACCACTCCCCCACTCCCAAATCTAGATTTCAAATTCAGTGATTTTCTTCTTGATTCAAATCTACATGATTCTCCATCTGAAATATCTGTGTGTGGGCCGGCCCGGTGGCGCACTGGATAGTGCGCCGCTTGGGAAGTGCGGTGGCGCTCCCGCCCGAGGGTTCGGATCCCACATACAGACCGGTTCCTGCTCACTGGCTGAGCGAGGCGCGGGAGCAACACCGAGGGTTGCAATCCCGTTGCCGGTCCCCGGTCCGGTACGGGGGCAACACTGAGGGTTGCGGTCCGTTGCTGGACACGGAAAAAGACAAAAAAAAAAAAAAAGAAATATCTGTGTGTGAATTTATATCATCTGAAATATCTATGGCATTAACACATTCTTTTGAATCTACTCAATTTTTAGGCATATTTTACAGCTGTGTGTTATTAGACCCAACTGAAGATATTTTGGGGAAATTTAGAATAGGGCAAAGAGGGACACTTAATCACATTCATCAGATTGGTGCATTTTTGATTCATGGATGTACATAACTACGGTTTGAATTTTAGGTCCAGTGGCCCATGTTGCCATACCTTCCCGTTTATAATAAATCCATGGTTTAGATGTGCGTGGTTTGGGTTATGATGCAGACCTAGCCAGATGCCTTACGCAGGAAAGACGTGGAATGCATCATCATTTTCTGTATGATTAAGTTGAAAAGGGCTACTTTTGTCGCCTACAGGGTATGATAGAACATTGTGACATATCCTTCCCCCCCGTCTTGCTGTAGATATTTTATGCTTTTTAGGGAGACATCAGCCTGTTTCATGACTATACTAAGGAACATTATTAATATTAAAGTTGATTTTTTAAAATCATCCATGAATTATTTTGAAGTGCTTGGATTAGAAAAAATTGGGGGATAAATTTTAATCTTTGTATCTAATTTTGGAGAAATACTTATCTTCCTATTAATACAAAAGCAGGTGGACTATGTTGTTATATTTCTGAAAGATAGAAATTGTGCCTATTGCCAAAGGTAATCAGTTTCTTTTTTTAATCATTAGGATTTAGACTTGTATATAAAACTTAGCCTGAAATCTTAATACTTCATCCTGTTTTATTAAGGCAAGAAATGGGGAAGGGAACAAACATTTATAAATAAATGCCTTCTGCATTGCTTAGGCCTGTTTTTAGGCATTTTACAAGTATTTCCTATTTAATCATAGCACCCTCATATAGGTACCAATTCTTCAGCCATTTTACAGTTGAAACTGTGGCTCGGAGACACTTAGTAACTGTGTCCTTTCTGCCTGCTGCCTCTCAGTGAGCCCTGAGCTCTCTCCTGGATGTACATGTCTCTCTCTCTCCCAATCCTTTTTGTTTTCATTAGCTCTTTGACCATAAGGTCAGCATATCAATATATAAAGAATGAGTGGAGGGTGGAAATGGATAGAAGGAAAGGATGGCAAAAACCAAAACAACTTTGTTGAGTCTAATGATCTTTTAGGAGAATTTAACATACCCACATGAGGAAAAAAGTAAACTCTTGGATTTATGTTTAGGAGCTAGGTTAACTTTTGGGAGTCAATGTATTGGTCATGAATTAAGAGTCATATTAACAAGAAAAAATAATGCATTATTACCTTTAAGCATTTTTTGTTTTATTTCAGTTGCGATATCAGAAGTGCTTGGTGGCCAGGCCACCTTCACAGAAAGTTCGACCACCTCCTCCGCCAGCAGACTCAATGACCAGAAGAGTCACAACCAATGTAAAACGAGGGGTCTTATCCCTCATTGACACTTTGAAACAGAAACGCCCTGTCACAGAAACGCCGTAGCTGCACATGTTAAAGGATTCTGTGATACACTTACCCGAAGATTGAATAGCTGCACTAAAGAAAATGAACTGATATCTGGCCTTCCGTTCAGTTGCTGATGCTTTGTCTTCAGAGAATTTATCCGTAAGCAAACAGTGTTAGACAAGCATGTTCTCGCGTCTTGCCACCATCATGTGATATGAAAAGAAGCATGAATAATTTTTTTTACTATCAGTAAGTTACATCATGAGCAGTGGAAGGTCCTTTTCTTATTGTAAATATCGTGAACATTACTTAACTTCACACACACACACACACACACACAGAGCGAGAGAGAGAAGAATGCGGCCACACCCCTCCTAGTGACTAATGCTGCGTCCTTGGAGTGAATGATGCCTGAGTTAGTTTCACTGTCTTCTTGACTGGATCTGTCACAAGCAACCTTTAAATCCTACAGCACTTTGCCCTATTTTCAACATTGGAGTAGATACTGTATAGCAGATACCCTTGAATTGCTGTAAAAATAGGATGATGAGTTTTTGTTTCAGTTTTACATAAAATTGAACCTGTTGGTTGACAAAATTGGCTGTTGGCATCAGAATAGAAACCAACTGGCAGCTTTCCTTGATGAGCTCTTTGACACATGGACACCATTTCATGTCTACAGCTGTTTGTGGGATGTTGGAAAAAAGTAAAACTTCAAAATTGATGAAAAACTAAATTTGAGGAATTAAAATTGAACAAAAAATAGCCTTTTCAGATGGCTTTAAAACTGATTATTTTTAAAAAGAGATTGACAAAACCATAATGCATTTGGGGTAGGACATATTTCAAACTTCTGCCTTATATTGTACAATACATCCAGAGAATTATAGTTCACTATGGCCATTCTCTATATAAACTTTAAAATGAAATATTCCTCGTAAGCCTTTCATCCTTAGTTTGATAATTAGCCAATATGCAATTTGAAGTTGAGCAAATGTAATTTATATTTCTATCATACGTGATTATTTTATATCTCTACCAATACGTTATTTTGTTAGTCCACATTCTAGAATTCTGCATCTAGCTCAATTTCACTCTAATGCTTTTTGCCCAGAAAGCTGTCTGTCCATCATGTATTGTCCATGGCAACAAATTACATTAGGTTGAACTTTTCTTGAGTTCATGTATTTAATATTACAATTTTTTGGACTCAACTAGATATATTTTAAATTTCATTTTTTTCCGTTTTATTTTCAAGATTTAAAAATTTTCACGTCAGAGCAAAATATACATAGGAGTAATGGACTGTCTAACAAGTTTCCCCCAAATAGCATTTCTTCTTTATGTAGATAAGAAAGTTGCTATAAAGATACACAAATTTAGACTCTTGTTGACATTGTCGTTTTAAAAGGAAGTTGCTAAGGAGTTCAGTCTCAATATCAGTCTTGTTTACTTTGTAATGTCAAAATTAACGTTTACAACGTCCAGTTATAAAAATTATGCTTTATGTTTATACACTGCTGTGTACTTGTTTCCACATTCTTATCACATCTGAGCCTTATAAGGTAGAGAAGGTACTAAACACACTTGTGAAATAAAAATAGGAAGTACCAAGAGGCTAAACCAACAGGCCTAACTAAGCTCTCACCAAAGGTCATGAGAGAACCAGGACCCATTATCTAGGACCCATGTCTCCCAACTCCTACTTCTTACAATGTTTTGCTGCCTCCACATCAGGAAGAGCCTTTCCAAAATGACTCTGGGTGTATACAAAGAAGAGCAGGTATGGAGATACTGTCAGGTAATCTTAGAATTCCCTATGTAAGTAGGGAAATACGTCCAAATTACTGATGCAGTGGTATTAATTATAAAACTATTGCCCTCTCCAAGTCCAGGACTGTTTTCCTGGAGTGTGCCTCAAGTGTGTTGTAAAGGATGGGATTCTGCATTCAGTGCAGCCTGCTCAATCTATGAGATTTTCCAGAAGTGGTGTTACTTGTAGTAGACGTATTCCTAACTCGTGGTACTTGGCCACCAGAGAACAAGATGGAATGAGTAGGTGGCTTCCTACCTGCCGTTCCCTCTCAGAATTCACGGGGCTGGAACTGTTTGCTAGCATCCTGGTGTTATGACAAAAATGATGCTTCTGTAGAAATGCATTGTACTTCTAACCAACTTACGTACTATCTGAAGTAACCAGTGCCATCATAAGAAATTATTCCATTAAGAAAATCCTTACTGTGCCCTTAGAAAAGCTGTTCAGAACTCAGTTATGATGATCTTTCATCTTGATCTCCACCATGAAATGTTTTAGTATGATAAACTTCAAAATTCTAAACAGGTAATCCACTTTTATACTGGAAATCTCCACCAGAACCCACGTTCATTTTTTAAGGCATACATCTGTTTGTTTTCAGGATCAAGAATACTGAGCTAGCTTTAAGTAGCAAACTGATTTATATATGCAATTATAGGCTGCATTAAGATGAATGATAGCCTTTACATATTGAAAACTTTACTACAGATATTTTGTTTTGAAAATAGCTTTGCATACGAAATGCAAATAATTTTGTAAAGATTATGTTAAACAGTATGTTCAGACACTTTCTGCCATGGCCAAAAAGTATGTATGAAAGTTTGTGTATGTTTGTCTGTGGAAGGATGCCAATGTTTTACCTGATATCTTAGTGACCCTTAAGTTATCTATGCATTCTTTATATCTGTGATTCGGTAAACAGGCAGCCGTGTTCACTATGCCTTGTATGTCATCATTTTTTTAATTAACTTGTTAAATACAGCTTAAAATATTTTTATTTTATTTATTCTATTTTTACTGAAATATACTGCATTATTGTGTTAATGTATTATCTTTACTGGATATTATCTCACAATGTATCCATGTCTAAGTAATCTCAGTGAACTATACATTGCCTAAAAGGTGATTTTGTAATGATTTTTAGTCACATTTCTATTGGAATATGTAGAAGAAAAGGCAAAATGCTTGAAGTTCCTTTTATTTTTTAAAAGCAGCTAGATAGACGCAGACTTGCCACCTCATATATGTGCTCCCTGGTGGCTTCAAGGGGAACAGCCAACACGCCTGTGGCTAAACACTTTACTTTGCAGACTAAAGCACTGCTCGGTGCTTCGTTTTTATATCCTTCACAACACATGTGATTTCATCTAAGATATATATGTCTACATGCCCTTCGTTTCCACCTGGATGTAAGAGCACCCATAGCTAATTAGGACCATTGTTTTTTGTTTGTCTTTATTGCATGAAGGGATATTAGACCCATTTTCATTAAAATAAGTTCTTGGTAATAAACTGTTGGCATTGCTACCTTTTTTAAATCCACTTTGATTTTAAGATGGACACTTGTAAGACTACTCCACACAAGGCCATTGACTAAACCCCGAAGCTTCCTCCTTTTTCTTGTATGGCGCACTCATCTCGTAAGCATTGCGGTGCAAACTCAAGATTTCATCAACAACATAAAAAACACTTCCCTAACTGATATTAGCACAATTTAATAAAATCATTAGCTGTCCAGTTTGCCCAGCTTAACCTAATACATGTCTAGCATGTGTTATACAGCCAGTAAAATGAAGTTTAATTTATTTCTGCTTCAGGGCAAAGATACTCGCTCACGCTGTGTCAGTGAGAGCATCCCCTGGCACCCAGAGCAGCCTGTTTACCCTGGAAGAACACTTTGTTTTCCTTTTCACCCCTTTTGCTGTTGACCACTTTTACACATTTAAATGTAATATGTTGTGAGAATAAATTTAGCTGCATAAAATGTGTGGCTTGTTTATCTGACATCTCAGTCGTATATACGAGGAATAGAATTATATAAACTTAGTGTCTCTACACTCGTCACTTTATTTTTAAATTATTACCTCAAATTAAACTTTTTAGAAATCATTTAATAATGTGAGATTCTGCTTTGGTTAGTTACTGCGTATTTCCTCCTGGTAAGAACTAGAAAGTAACTAAATTTTGAGTAATTAGCCTGTCCTTACTTATTTCGTGATCAGTTGGCATTCTGGACACAGAAGCTTATTGAGTCACTAACTTGAGTCTTTGGTAAGCAGTCTTTCTAGGATCAAGATTTCAGCACAAAGAAGTCTTTCATTTCCTTTAAGAACCTGTCTTCAAAAAACGAAGGAGAAAGAGATGTAGGCACTAAAATCCAAAATGAAAGGTAACTAGAAAAAATCAGCTGAATTCAGTTTAAATTCACTGTTAGACATATGGAAGAAGATAAATAGAATTTAAAGTACCCACTTTTTGTTCATCTTGCACTTTCCAGTAGTTTATCTCTTCTACTGTATTTACTCGGTAAATCTCAAGGAACAAAATCTCATTTTGGTTTTGGATATTGCATAGTGGTAATTATTTTCAGATAAAAATCTGAATTTGTTACTGGAGTATCTGAATACCAGTGATTTCATTAATTTAGATTTTTGCAGCACTTTTCTCTAAGTTGAAGAAAGCAAAATACCAAACAAAAAATGTCAGTGTAATCAATAGAATTCACTAGAATTCTCTCATATTGCTTTTTTCCAAAGTATTTTTCCCTTTTCACTCTACTGAAGTACTTGAATAATCGATCCTGTCCTTCTTAGAAGATTTTCAAAGAAGAAAACTGCAGGCTTAATTAATGAATCGTTTAATTCAGAATCTCCATATAATTCTAAAGAGAAAAATAATTTGGTGCCAAGATGCATGTTAGGAGATAGGAAAATAAGTGGCTACAAGTTGTGACATGAGTCACATGCTGCTACAGAAATTAGAAAAAGGGCAACGAGAATTATCATAGAAAACACACTTGAAAATAAAAATCTCAGACCTGCTACTTTTGGACAATAAAATTCCTTTCAGTATGGGGTGGGGGAGGGGGAAGGGAAAGTATGAAGGATTCCTGGGATAAAGTACCAGCTCTTTACTGAACGTCAAATTAAGCTGCATTGGCCTTCTAGAGGCGTGGGATGCTGTGCCAGATAGAGATTTGGGTGGGAACAGGAGAATGAAACACATACTATAATTTTAGAACAAAGATATATACTTTTTGATTTTTAAAATTAATAAAATAAGCTGAGCACTTGAAACATTTCTGTACTTTTCAAGAGTCATAATAACATAAGAATTTGGCATCTGAAATATGGTAAGCCTGGTTCAAGCATAAAGTCTCATTTCCTTTCTTCACTGACGCATTTTACTGATAAATGTAAATCTTCAGCTAAAAGAAAAATAATTTATTACTACTAAAATGAAATTCACCATTTTTAAAAATCCTCACTTTGCGTGAGAAAATAAAGAATAGACTATTAGAGCTGAAATAGACCTAAATACTTATCTTGAAGAGGATAATTTTCTAAAATCATGCCACCTGAATTGAGCATGTAGGAATTTATGTAGCACTTTCACAAAACTGAATTCTGAAATTAAAACTTAAATTCAAACTTTATGAGTGTGTCTATGAACTTTTTTTAAGCAGTAAGATTTTTAGTTGCAACTTATTCTATTTAATGTCAATTTCTGTTGGCCATGACGAAAAAAATCATAGACCCAGAAATGATGAACATACCAGTCCTTGGTAGAAAACTGATAATACATTCAAGATGAGTTGACATTTAATATAACTAGCACAGTGCTACAATATATTTTAATTGCACATCAGAAGTGATTTACCAAAATTTGATTACTGTGTGCCATTTGAAATGACTTGTAGATTTTGCTGTATCACCTAATCTTTGAGCAGAATCAGAAATTTTTATGGGTTTTTCAACAAAATAGTTATAACTTGTATTTGTTTTGCCTCTTCCTCAGAATTAATATTTAGATGGAAATTTGTTTTGTTTTGTTTTGTTTTTTTAATAGTGTTTGGTATAAATGATCAGAAGGGAGAGAGAACTATATTCAATCTACTCAGGATCCTGGAAGTTATAACTTGTATTTGTTTTGCCTCTTCCTCAGAATTAATATTTAGATGGAAATTTGTTTCGTTTTGTTTTGTTTTTTTAATAGTGTTTGGTATAAATGATCAGAAGGGAGAGAGAACTATATTCAATCTACTCAGGATCCTGGAGCTCTTCCAATGAGAAACACTTTGCACTCTGTAAATGAACGTCTGAGCTACACACACCTGGCACTTTGGAACTTCCTGTGTTTCCTATCATACTCAAGCTCAGTAACATTACCAAAACTCACGTCATGCCCTGCTTAAAGAACAGACTGTTATTAAAGGAAAAGTCAACCTCAAACATGATTGAAAAAGTTAAACTACAATTGCCTGGATACTGAAGCGCTGTCTCAGGGTGGCAGGAAATGGCTGGCATCTATTCCATAATGAACTGCCTCACAACTTTGAAAAGCAGCCTGCTATAAGGCTGATAGTGTTTCCGTTCAGGAGAAATTGTTGCAGCTTTTAGACTGAAAGTTAACAGGGCTGAGACAAGTTCTATCAACTGATACTGAGTCTACAACTGGACAAACTCAGAAGCACTGAGCTACTGAAATCTCTGAACTCTGCTTTGCTTAATCCCCTACGTTACCGTTTCTCACTTGTCTTAGTTCTCTGAAGGCAATATCACATTTAGAAGATACTTGGTGACTGAAAGGATGAGTATCTTCTGTAGGGATTTCTAACCTTCTGAGAAATACGAGACTTTGAAAAAAAATCAACTGCTTCTCGCCCCTGTAAAAGACAAGATAGTCAAAGCCATGGTCGAGGACGCCTGAGTAGGGAGGAAGGTAACTTTTCTTTAGGCTTCTCCCCTCTTCTGGATATTGATGGTGTGGGAAGGCTGCTGGACCCAACAGTCTTGGGTCCAACCCAACGACAGTAAAAATGGTGAGTCGGTAGCTGAGATCTGATCCCTTGGGAACTTGAAAATGGCAGGATTACTGGAGGCAAAACAATCTCGACAGGCTTCAGAGCAATCATTCTGTCTTCCGGTCTAGGTCTTACAAAGTTTGTCTGCCGTTCATATGGCCTAGAGGGACAGGCATTCTTCATAAACGTGGGCACTAAAGGATTGATGTTGGGCTTGTTGGGTTTTCTGATCTGTGAGGAAGCACACACTTGACTTGTACTTTTCTGTGGAAGAGGAGTTTTTGTTATTAATGTCTCTGATTGATTAGCATTAACTTTAGCTTCTCGATTCAGGAACTCAGCAATTTTCACTTGGATGTCATTGTCAGTAGTGGGAGCTTTTGGCCATGATGTTTTTAATTTTTTCTTCTTCTTCTCACGTTTTGATGGTTTACCCAACTCAATCCCATCCAGTAGACCCTTTGCTGCAGCTCGGGCCAAAACATCTTTCACAGACACTGTCTCAGATGGGTCCCGCTACAATTAAAGAAGCAGTTACTAAATGTGGGAGTTAGTTATTATTGTGTATATTACAAGTATTTATCAGTATTTCAATAAAAACAAACAGTATCTTTATTATACTAAAAAAAAGAATAGTTTTTAGGTCTTAGTCCCCTATATCTCATAAACCTCAGCAAATGACTTTTTTTTTTTTTTACTTAAACCTCCCCATTTATGAACCTGATAGAAAAAGAGAATTACACAGCTTATTTCTTATATGTGAGGGAAGATGCACTAAATGTTGACAAAGTGCTCACAGCGGTGGGGGTGGGGGCAGGCAAACGAGGAACACTCAGGAGAAGGATAAAGAACAGGGATTATTTGCCACAAGGCAGTAATTCTTCTTCCTGCCCTTTAGCTATTTATGAAATACATGCACACCATTCCAAAATGTTCACAAAGCCCCAGGACCTCTTAAGCGGCTTTGTTAATCCCAAGGTATGACAGGGACTGGAATTTTTTTTCCTTACCTCCCTTGTTAAAATAGAAAGAAAACAACCATTGGTAGTTTCAGATGGTTCCATTCTGAAAAATTTATCAGTAGACAGATGTACTTCCTTTAAAGAGCACAGTGGAAGAACAGGAGGACTAAGCCTGCAGTAGATACGAGCAAACATTTAATAGTTACGATGGCTTCTTTGCCGAGACAGGAAGAAAGTAAATTGCAACTAAATTTTCTTCTGTTATGTTTTACCAATCATTTAAATAAAAATTCCAAATAAGAATAAAATGCTAACACAGTCTTTCCCAAGATACTATTATGTGTTAAAAGCTCTAATACTTCATATTAACTCTAATTTATTATACTGTCTAAATTCTCCATCTTTAAACAACTATACCATGAATAACAAACTTTTAACAAACTAAAGTCTCTTCCCCATGTCACTAATATGTTAACAAAAGGCTTCCATGATCGAAGCAGGTAAATATGTATAGTAATCACAAAGGTATAATCCAAAATTTCCTGTATGTCCGTCCACATGATATCAAATACAAAAGTTCTGGCACTTCTTTCTTTTGGTTACTTTTTGCACAATTGTAATATTAAAATATAGCCTATCATTTCAACTACATTATTCTTCCCAATCACTTTTTGAGTTTTAATGGATGAGTTAATTAGTATTCAAGAAAGTACATAACAAAGAAAAGACTGTGTCAGAAATATAATAATCTGTAATCAGTAATATGTTCAAAATAAAATTTGGGGCTTGATATTTAATATTCAATTTCTCATTTAATAGTAAATGGTTCATTCATAAATAATAAGTGATTCTTATATTTTCATGCCTTTAGAATTAAAATATATTTAGGAAGCCAAAGCAATTAAACTCTGTTTCACATGAATTAAAATATCAGGAAATTTTTTAACAATTTGTCTTCTGAAATTTAAAACCAATTTTAAAATATATTTATTCATTATTTG